GGGATGATATTTGATTGATAAAAAGCATCTCTTTTGTCTCTCCTAACTGAACTCACCAAAAAAGTAATGGAAAAAGTTGAATTGAGCACAGCAAGAGGGCATCTGAAATGGCATTCCCGTCTCTGCCTCTAAATAAAGAATTATAGGGGAAATCCGCCTGCTTGAAAATTTTGCATTTATATAGTCTATATATATATATACAATATTTTGCAGGGTACTTACAAAGAATAAGTTGACAATCCATCATGCATTATATAAGGAGCTAAGGCAATGTATCCTACTCCTACATGTATTTACCTTTGGCTGTTAATGTATAGTTCCTCCCACCATACAGAGAATGCTTTTTTTTCTTCCCCTTAGTCCATTGTGACTTTTGACAATAGTCGTGGATAATATTTAAGGTACTAAATGAAAGGGTAAGATTTTTATTTATTTATTTACGCTACTAATATGCTTCCATTACCATACTTTTCTATTAAGAAGAAATACGAACGCTCAGTCATTTGTTAGTGGACACAAGTGGTTCAGTTCCAGTTATCTATAATCTGGGGTTGTCCAATAAATAACCTTCAGCCACGTGCTAAGCACCCTTCCAAGATATCAAACTTTTTGCCTTGAACAACTTCAAAAACTAGAGTACATTTCAGGATGGTACATAAAAAAATGAACTTAACCTTTCTTAGGCAAGTGGCCATATGGAAATCTATGAAGGAATATATTGTTCATCATATCCAAATTCCATATGATGTTTTTCTTTTTCTATATATATCAACGAGTGTCACTCAGAAACCATACAGGCACCTTCCCCTTGCGGTAAGTTTCATCGGCCACTTGCAAAAGTAATTAAGATCTGATCTTTGTTATAGTGTTTAAATCATTTCACACATTATATGTCATGCATAGCCTTTCCTTTTCATTCGTGTAGAAATTAAAGTCTTCAAAATTAATGTCTTAGTAAGTAGTACAACTGGAAGTGGCCACTCACTTATTTTTTGCTGCACTCCTGCACATAGGTAAAAAGCTTTGATAGCTAATTAATTGGTGAAAACTGAAAACATCCACTCATGGGTCAGCAGAGTTGGCTGGACTACAATGTGAGTTTCACCAGCAGTGTGAAATGATTTCACTTGTTACAATCATCAATCATCAGAGATAGCTAGCAGCCTTTCCAATGCAATGCAGTTCTTGGAGCCCATCTTCTACTGTAAGATACAAAAATTCTATAACAAGTTAATGATAACACTCTAGTTTATATACATTGCTATATTCCAATGCATAATGGTCTGCTTCTGCAGAATAATCTCTTGTTGAAAGACACAGAGGATTATGATGCAGAAATGCTGGAGAGCTCAAGCTACAGAGCTATAACCAACAAACACTACATTAAGGTGATCAATTGGAACTCTCTACACATGCTTACAGAATGTTTACAGTTGATAAATGTCGAGTCTATAGTTAACCTCTATTCTTGTTATTGATATTCAGCTCCATTTCTAATGGTGACCTCATTCTTTTCCTATCATAGTTGGACTTGCATCACATGAAGGGATGGCTAAAAAGCAAATCTCCATTTTGCTTCTTTAGATCATCACATCAAGAGAAGAAAGAGAAACTCCGGTTACAAACTGCAAAATTACATGCTCTACTTTCTCTCACACAGCTTGCTTCAGCAATTTCTGGCTTTGCCAGCAATAGCAGCTCCGGAATTCTAGACTCACAGCAAATGAATTGGAGCCACAATATGGCTAGTGTAGTTGCTTCTGCTGCAGCTCTGATGACAACAGTATGTGCCGAGGCAGCTGAATCTCTGGGAGCAGGAAGAGCTCAGGTTGCATCTGCAGTCAATTCTGGCCTGGCCATCCAAACTCCTATGGATATGATCGCAGTGACAGCAACAACAGCCACATGTAATGCTTTCTACAGTATTGCTTACAACTGATAACACCCTATATCTAATTTTCTTAGCAATTATCAATGAACAGATCATTGCTTGTTACCAGGTTTACGAGGAGCTGCAATTCTTAAATCAAGAGCCTTGGATGATCCCTCTCCTAGGATCCCAGAGATGCTCACTGCAGGCGCCCGAATACGGATAATAATGCTCTCAGGTAAGAATCGTATTTCCTGAAACCTTCAAAACATAGAATCAGGAGATGTTTTTTCACTCCATTTCCTACCTGCCTAAATATGATACTTTTGAGTTATTGTTATAACACGACAGGACATAAAGAGGACAAATGGGTGACCCTACACCAGAAGCAAAACCAGCTCATACTGAGCCTCAAAAGGAAGTACTTTGGAGCTTTAACAACTTCAAAAGAATGTAAACTATCTATTTCGTTTCTTTCATTGCTTCATTGTTGCTTCAAAACATGATGGTTCTCACACCTATATTTGGACAGTATCCTCCTAATAAAAGTAAAGAAGCTCCTAAGACTAACAAATTACCCTTATGCAGACAAGCTTATCAACATAATAAGAGAGTGTTTTGAGGCTCAAGACCAGTACTTTGTTAGCTTGAAGACGAACAATGGCATCATCAAGCTTCTCTTCAAAGATGAAATGCAATTAAGCATCTGGATATCTACCATTTCCAGTGTCTTAACATCCTCTTGAGAAAGAGGTCAATGTTGTACAAAGCATTTGACAAGTCTAATAACATTCTTGAAATCATGCTCAACCTCATACATCAAAAGTAGATGTTGCAACTTCCCGTCCCACAGTGTAATTATGTAAAACACAAGTTTTACACAAACCCGCAGTTGAAAAAAGGAATAAATGCACTGAAGTAGAGAAAGAGTTCAAAGTCACAAATGTTTGACAAATATCCAGTAGAAAGCATCTTTCGTTTTTCCCTGGGCAATGTTTCTATGAGCAATGAAATGGACCAAAACCCATAAACGTGAATATCAGATCAGGCTTATATGACACTTGGAATATGAGATCTCAAGTCAGGCTTATATCATTTAATCAAACTTCACGTAAGCCTCTGACTCCTATTCCAAAAGACAATTTTAATTGTGGGATTAACCATGAAATGCTTGATATGCAATGTTATGAAAGAAAATGAAGCTGGGCTTGAGATAGATGTTGGGCCAGCTGAGAATGCAAGTATTGGGCCAGTCTGGAAAAGCAAGAGAACTAACAAGACCTCCCCAAAGGCTATTAGTCTACGTTTGGGTCCCTCGTTGAGGGAATTAGTCAAGAGAAAACTACCCTCTATAGTTCCTCAAAATTTTAATAGCCCATATTTTTTTTCACTGACACGAAATGGCCCTTCGGCCCAAACTTATTGCATCTAATAGCCCGAAATATCTATTTTGTATATTTTTTGTATAGTGATAACTTGTTTTGTATATTTTTTGTATATTGACAATCTATTTTGTATAGCGACAGTCTATTTTGTATATTTTTTGTATAGTAACAGTCTATTTAGTATATATTTTGTATAGTGACAGTCTATTTAGTATATATTTTGTATAGTGACAGTCTATTTTGTATATATTTTGTATAGTGACAGTCTATTGTATATAAATTGTATAATGATAGTCTACTTAGTATATTTTTGGATAGTGATAGTCTATTTTGTATAGTGACATTCTATTTAGTATATTTTTTGTATAATGACAGTTTATTTTTGTATATGTTTTGTATAATGACAGTCTACTGTATATAAACTGTATAGTGACAATCTATTTTGTATAATTTTTATATAGTGACAATTTATTTTGTATATATTTTCTAATATACCAAGATTCAAATTTATTTTCACCGAAAAAAATACATAAATATCCACGAAAATATATACTAATGGTGGGCCTGAAATTATGATTCCTATCAAAATCAACTAATGACATACATGTGGAAATGAAAATTTATTTGGTGAAAACCAAAAGATTTCCCTAGCAAAGAAAGTTAGCCTAGAAAAAAATGAGGCTATAACAGAGAGCTTGGGATTTTTATTCAATGGGTGGTTGCCCCTCTCTTTAGCCAATGATTTTCCTTTTCCACTTTTAAAACAAAATCAACAGCCCTTGAATTCCTGGAAATACGTACTAATAACAAATGAATTGATTTGTTCCTTCAGTTTGGTTTGGAGTTGCTCTTGCTCTGTTAAATCGTTATATTATGCTTATTGCATTAATTGGTAAATCTCTTGTAATTAGATCAAAACTGTTCCATTATTGATTTCATAATCCAACGTAAAAAACAAAAGAAGTAAAAAAAAAGTCCAAATAAAAATCAATAAAACGCGCATGCAGAGGACGAAATCTGAAATCTATCCAATATCATTTCGCAATGCTGCATGACTAAAAATTCCAGAAAAACAACCATATGATTATATAGTATGGATTTACGTTAAAACCAAAGTAAAGATTAGACCAAATATATAAAATGCTACAGTTAAAAATGAGGGGTTTTCAACAGATTGTAAGCAGAGAAACTGAGAAAGAAGCAGAAACTAGTACTTTTGGGCTAGCCACTAAAATTATTTTTGGGCTATAAAATGTGTATTGTAATTTTGGGCTACCGGATATTATAGGTTTGGCCCGAGTGGCTATAAATGATATTTGCTCATTAGTTAAATAGCAGAGTACGAGCATTATGTAGGTAGACTGAATATTGTAGATAACTTCCTCTCTCTCCCACGTCTATTTCTCTCTGTGGCTCTATCTCTCCCCCTACTTTCTTTCTGATACTATCCTTGTTATGTTAATATCTATCTTCTTATTCTCTAATTCTATGTACTGAGTTTCCGTTAATGAAAGATCAATTCACAATTCCTATTTGTAAGTGTGTTGTTTGAGAAGTTTATTACATTGGTGCTTTCATTGATTTGGACTCCATGGCTCTCTACTCTTTTACTATTATAAATTATCACCCCGACGCCATCCAAGGACTGATGATGGCGATGATGGACAATAACAATCGTATGCTGAGAATTCTCAGCAACATTGAGAACAAGTTGTCTGCCTCTTCCACGACGATCCCCGAAGCTTCTGTACATCGGAATATGGTTGTGTCTTTGGAAAATAAGTGTGAACAAAAGGAGATATCAGCAACAGAGATTGGTTCTGATTTAGATAATGGACGCTCCAACCCTGCGGATAATTTTGAAGTACTCATTGAGATGGTGGAAACCAAAATTGGCGAGGTGGAAAGTTCAAAAAGCTATGCCTGCAAGGTGTTGGCTGAAATACCCGATAGGAAGATTGACATAAAAAATGATTCAGTGAAGAATCATTCAGCCAAGCTTGAAACCCAGGTGGTTGACGAAATGTTTCAAATAGTTTGCGTAGTCAAGAGTGATTACAATAACCACGTCATATTTGATAATCCACTAGTGCTGCCAATTGTGCCTTCTGCTTGCAGTCCCGCCCAACGTTTTCACAGAGGCATATTTGATTACTTAAGTGGACATAATCACGCTAAACTTATCTTCGCTTAGCATCAATTACCACCTGCTCAATTCAAATTAGTGTTTCCATTTTATCCTAATTCTAATTTACTTACCACATCCCTTAGTGTCATAAAGTATTGTGTATTTTACGCTGCTTCAGGCGACTTAGAGCTTGATAAGTTCATAACTTCAACCTTGTGGAATTCTTGCAATTGTGTCGACACTGGACATGGATTTACGAATGATTCAAGTTGCACATATCATCATATTAGTCATTTATTTACATCAGATGCCCATAAACTATTTGAGGGAAATGCATAATGAAGTAGGTGTTTAGTTGCATGATTATATGATCGTGACTGTGTAGGTCGAGTTCAATCGGGTGTTGAAAGTAGTGATACATTTCAAAGTCTTTTTTGTACATCATACCAGATATTAGGAGATTCTCATTTAGGCATGCTTGTGGACACGACACCCATGTTGTTATGCTTTTTGGTGCTGCGACGATTCTTCAGGAACAATATGATGAATTATAGGGTACTACACTTTTGGTTTTTCAGCCAGCCGATGCGGGAGGTGAAGCAAAGAAAATTCTTGATTTCGGGATGCTTAAGAATAGTGATGCACTTGAGGTCACTGTTTACTGTGCAATGGCTGCTCCGAATGACACTGAAATTATTGTTATGGTGACTACACCAGGCAGGCCATCAAAGGGCGAATCTAATGGTCTTGATGCTACTTTAGACAACATCCACACTTACGCCAATAATCTGATAAATCATGTGTTACTCAATATGAAATGTCCTATGCATCCCGAGCAGGTTATAAGTGTGTTCAATTTACTAATGCTAACAATGTCCATTGAGAGCCAAACAAAACAAGGTAGCAAGTCATTGATAGCATGTGCAGTACTCTATTCAAGCTCTTTCAAAGATATCTTTAATTGCAGAGGCTGTGAGGAATACAAAGACATACCATTTAGTACCTATGTAACGGACTCTATCTTCGACCTTTGTGTTATACCCCATGTTTTCGTACGTAAGAGTACGTCATAAGTCAATTGATGTAAGCTCAGAAATAAAATTATCTTTGAAAAGTCTATAAAGTAAGTTAATCATGTTACCGTGGAGGTTACAAATCTTTAAGATCATGGATAACAAGTATCAAGAGGGTTGGAAAGCTTAAAAGCTAAACGAAAAATAAGTTTCGTCTAAAGTTGATAATTTTGGAATATTATAACATGCACTTTGGGGTGAGACTAGGGTTCTTAACGTGATAAGGAGGTTATGTTATGAGTTATTTTAGCCTTATGATAGTCGTGTGTTACGTTTTGAAGTCAAGCCAGTTGTGGAACAAAAGTTGGCAAAGGTCATCATAAGTTACATTCATAAATGTGCTGAACATTGGGTCAAATATAGCAGAGCTCTTCTCCCAACAAACTTGGAATTATGGGATTATACACATAGAAAATTTAATATCTACGAGTCTAGTTTCTAACGCAATAAACCGTTTATCGATACGATATCAGAGTAGAGAGATATTTGCAGTTTCGCGAGACTGCAGAGACTGCATAGGTGACAAGTAAGTGTGTCACTGAAGCTTTTTGAGCACTCTATTTCATGTGTTATATGAGGTCTTTTTGGGACATATTGTATACCAAATTGAAGGTCTTGGAATGTAGTTTCTAATGCTTTTAACCGTTTAGTCATACGGCATTCGGATAAAAATATAAAAGCATCGAAAAATGGGCTAATGCTAGGGTGCCAAGCTAGCACCTTTTTGACTTTTCAAAAGTTGATATATAGGTCTTAGGTTGTCTTTATCTTCATTTTTCCACATAACACGACCAAAGAACACCCACAAATATATCCTTAAGCACTCTTCTAGGTTTTCAAAGAAGATTAATGAAACACCCCGAAAAATTTTGAAGTACTTAAGTGTAAAGCCCGATAAAGTTTGCAAAGAACCATGATCATCTTCCTAATTTTGATTCAATTTGTTATATTTCTAAAATAGATTGAAGTTGCTAAGAATTCCGGAACGTTTTAGAGTGTAAGGAAGCTTAAGTGAGGTATGTTGGCTAAACTCTTCTCTTAGAATTGAATCCCACGTTATTCATGTAAATTATGTAAGTCCCGAGTGATTCATTATCAAATTGGCTATTCCGAGTAAGATTGGGTTGAAAGATATATATTCAAAAAGCATCCCAAATGCTCTATTCATGTTATGTTACCAATTGAGGATGTGTTAAAATATGGGTTGTGCATTAATAATGTTTCGACTTCAAGTCAAGTTCAAATGAAGGCTATTATGCCAAATTTTGTGAAATATCTCTATGTGCCTTAGACTCTAAATTGCTCACATGTGTACTACACACCTTGATTTGAATTGTATTTGTTGTTGATGATGAT